CAAAACGTATATCTATCTCACTTTAAGTTCCAAAAGTGTACACTAGTAGTAGTTTAGCCACAGACCTCTGTTCGCGTTGCTTGCACTTTTGGCACTCGACATTTTCGCTTTCTCTCTTTTCAAGGTGAAATATGTATCAATCTCATTTTAAGTGCAAAAATATTTGGGGATTTTATGCAATTCAATTGAATGCTTCTTACTAGCGTCATGATCATCTTCAGCTTCACTACTGTTGCCGCTTTCAATTCCACTGTCTTGACTCTCCATACTCTCTCTACGACCAGTTTCATTTTGATCAACGTTATCAGGATGATCTTTTTTGCTGCCCTTGTTAATAGCTTCTGAAATTACTTGTTCTATCTTCTCTTTCTTTATTTTCTCTAGTTCTTTTGACTGTTTGATTTCTTCTTTCAATACTGGAAGGAAGCGTTGGGTATAATACTCATAATATTCTGGCGATTTTTTTAATTTAATTAATACCTCAGTTAATACCTCAGGACTAGCCCCTTTTTTGAACAACCTCTTGCATTCTGTGAGAGTCCCGTCTTTCCCAACTTCTGGGTTTAGGTGTTTGTGCTTTCCTTTTGTTACTTTTTCCATTATAATATTCAATAATTTACTGTTGTATACTAACTCATTGGATGTAGAATTTTTTTCTGTCATATCAAAGCCTCGCTAAAAATTAACTATTTATGTACCCTTGTAGTTGTAGGTGTTAACAATTTGAGATTGAGAACTAACAACTAAAAAGCAGGCAGAAGAGCGTTTCTGCTAGTATCATAGTTAAACCTCACTTCAACGATTATCTACTATTTTAAATGTTTAGTTTTAAGAAAGGATAAATATTGGTATATAGCTAAGTGAACAGGTGCAAAATGTGCTATACACATAAAAAATAGTAAAATTAGTTTTAACTGTATCACGAGCATAATTATGTACATTAAAAGCGCTAACCAATGCTCTTACTATTTCTCTTGTATTAGGCATACTAACCTCCCCATTTTTAAATTACAACAACTACCCTTTACTTAACGTCTAGGATTGTTGTGAACCACCAGGATTGTTTTTCTGCTC